AGACTTTGCTTCACAAACTTTGCACACATTATCAGGAGAGACAAGACCCTGGAGAAAGATGCTAGGTTTGGGAAATAGAAGGCCATTGGAAGAGAGAAAGCATCTGAAGCAGACTGATTGACACAAACTTCAACACAACTTACATTAAAGAAAACAAAAAAATCCTTATAACTGTACCAAATACATCATGATGATAAATGAAGAAAAGATTGAAGTTATCAAGGGCTTAATTTTACTTGGATCCACAATCAATTCTCATGGAAGTAGCAGTCAGAAAATTCAAGGACATATGGTATTGGGCAAATGTGTCACATCAGACCTTTTTCAAGGGTTCAAAAGTAAAGAGGATGCTTTAAAGACTAAAGGACGCTTGACCCATACCTTCCTATATCCAATCACCTCATGTGCATGTGAAAGCTGACTAATAAATGAGGGACTGGAGAAAACTGGTGCATTTGAATTATGGTATTGACGAAGAATATTGAAAGTACCATGGTTTTTAGAAGAACTAGCAAACCTTCCTTGAGAAAGTACATCTAGAATGCTCCTTAGAAGTGAGGATAGAAAGCCTTTGTCTCACATGCACGATCACGTCCATGACCAGGAGGGACCAGTTTCTAGAAAAGACATCATGCTTGAGAAAGTAGAAGGTCGGGGAAAATGAGGCAGGCCCTTCATGAGATTAAATTACAGTGGCTGCAACAATGGGCTCAAACATCACAAACCATGGGGAGGATGGTGTGGTATTTCATTCTGTTGGACATAGGCTAGGTCCACGTGGCAATCAAGTTGATAGCACCTACCAACAAGAGTTATGAGAACTTTATACATTTGCTTATGGTATTTAGACTGTAAGTAGTGGGGAACTATCAGTAGAAGAAAGCCAACTATAGATTTGACGACAGGAGTGTGAATTCCAACTCTGGTATTTACTTACTTTGTAATCTCCATAAGCCTTGTTTTCTTTAACTTTAAAATATTAGAAGTCACATGCTCCCCCAACCCTCTATTTTATTGAGTTATTTGAAAGATTGAATATACCAGCACATGGCAACTGGACCAACACATTGAGAATGCTTATACCTTAGTGCAAGGAGCATACCAGGGACGAAAAATAGACCGTCATATTTTTGTCATTAATAGCACCCATTACTTGAGCCAAGCTGGGAAAAAATAATTCTGCGTACTTGAAATTAATGAAAGGTAGTGGAAGCATAATGATAAGCCCAACAGTTTCCACAAAAAAGGGCGGGTTAAATGAAGAGGCAAACTTTAGGTTAAGACAGCAATAATTTTAGTTCTAGTCCCAACATTGATCAAGTGACCTTTATTCTGTTACCCTTTCAAATCAAGTTCTATATTTTAAAACTATAAAACGAGATAATAAAATTATGGCTTAAGAATAGCAAATATTAAAACTAGTTATTCTCTGCCTTTTTTAGTATTGAGTGGGGGATGAGAAAACAAGGTGAACAAGTAGGTTTCAAATGTAGCAGGAGATTAATAATCTGAACATTTCAAATAATTCTCAGTATTGTTATTAATAATGCCATAAGTTTAGCAAAGGACAGAAATATGTAAGTATGAAGGAGAGGGGAATGTATACATATATTTATAGAGGTGAAATCAGATTAAAATGAATGACATCAAGAGAAGGAAAGTAATGCATTCTAGGAAAGGGTGATTCTTGAATGCTAATCATAAAAGAGATAATATAGATATTTAAAATTTCTGGTATTGTCATTTTTATAAAATTGACTAAATTCTTGCTGTGTCCTTTCCCTCTGAGGGGTAGCTGGACTCTTTGATTGAAACTAGTTCCCACTGTGAAACCTTTTCCCATTTCCTGTTATATAAAGCAATGTTTTGTCTTTGGCACATCCACAGACAAATCACTCCACCATTGAGAAAACATTGTATGATTGCTTAATCCATATTAATCTCTTCCATTTGTCACCAAGATCATTCATATGTAATTATATGTGGAACTTTATCACATTTCCGCTCACTGATACTATGGATAGGAAAGGATAGCTTTTATTTCCTGTGTATTTTCATTATGCTGGAGAACTCAATTTATGTAGCAAAATTAATTATGTGCCATGAAATCCTTACCTATCAGAATATTACAAAGCAAGGGATAATACTTTTCCAATCAGTACATAATTTCTATCCCTAAAATGGCAAATATAGTAGACACATAAACCTTTTTCTTCTTTCTGGTATAAATCCACATGCCACAGTTTTAGAAGCTTTCAGATTTAAAAACAACCTAATTTTTTATGCTTGTTCCATTCAGCATCTTAGAATATATGTGTGCGTGTAGCTATTGGGTCCGATGACACTTTGGTGAAGCTGGGGAGGGGTTATAGCATTATTTGTTATTTAACATTATTTGGTTCTTATTACTCCTGGAAGTCTCAGTTTATGCAATGGCATCCTCTTGTCTTAGATGCTACACATGGCTTTTGGGGTACGTACACCTTGGCCCTGATTATTCTACTGAAATTTAATTTAATTTCACATAACCTCCCCTGACCTAACAGCTTTATCAGCAGCGTCAAAATGTCTCCTTTGTCTAATGTTTTATGTGTTGAGGGAACAGTAAGATTTGGTTAGTCATCGCAAGGGTCACTATGCGGTGCATCGAGGGAGTTCTTTTTTTGTTGTTCTATCATTTTACTTCTTGAAGTACTGTATGACGTTCCTTTCCTTGTTGGTGTTGCTAAGGGGTCCGGAAGTAAGCACGCAGTCTCCAGAATCAAAAGCAGAAGACAGTTGTTATGTTTGTATTTGGTCCACAGTCAAGACACATATGTCGAACTCATAAAAGCTGGATGAGGAGTTCTGCTCTTCTCATATGGCAGGGAGACAGGAAGATTTCACCCTTCTGCACGCGTTCCATCTGAGAGCGGGACAATAAGCTTACTGAAAACTTTTAGTGCCCCCCAACAACTTATTTTCAGTTGGGGGGTAGGGGTGGCATGCTCCTTTTTATCTAGAAAAAGGAAACTTTCTTGGAGGGAATGCTGTCTATCTCCAAAATTCAATGACACCTAGCTCTAAGTCACCATCCCCTGTGCACCCAGTTCCTCAGTCCTCTACTGTCATATAGAGGGTCTGACTTGTAGAAGGCATCAGCCTCAATTCCTAGCTTAAAAGAATGTGTGGTATATTTCAACATCTCTATGATTTCTACTGTGAATGAGATCCTATTCCGGGGTCACCGGTAAACATTTCCCAATATTGTGTTATACAATTGTATACTAATACTCTGCCTATCAGCACAAAACGGGGAGAAACGGAGTAAATGAATTGATTCTTGTAAAATTATTACTTACAGTATACATGCTATTTAAAAATTAATCAATAAAATAAATATGATTAAGTTCTAGAGTGAAAATAAATTGTCTCATATATTTTGTAAGATGCATCACCCTCTTAACCTGGGAATGATCATTAGACTGTAATTGTGCAGAAGATGGATTGGTTAATTAATTTCAGACAAAAACAGGGTAACGTTTTTCATTTAAAGGAAAGTTTGCAGGGCTTATTTTCAAAGAACCATATCTAAACACTATAGATCCTACTATAAAGTAATCCAAAGTTGTCTTTTCTTTTACATAAACAACTATTAAAAAGCAATTTTAGAAAACAATTTTCCTTTCTTAAAGGAAATATGCTATTTTCTCCTATACTCAGTATAATTTCTTGCCTGCAACTTTTCATCTAAACCACAGAAATCACTGCTTTACATAACTATCTCTTGTAAGAATCAAGATCTAAGACTATCCACTCTGTACATAGGGAAGCAGTAAAAATAGAATATGTAAAATGTCTTCATACAAAATATGCATAGGGGGCTCACAGATGACAAAGTATGAATGATACACTATTCAGTCAGTATATTTAAGTGGGTGGACAATTTTGGAAACATAATAAATTATCTCTGAAATTGTTTTAGCTGAAATCTAGACAATGGTTTCTTTTCATATTGCCAGGATCATTGTGGAAAATCATAAACGATTTTCTGTAATGATTAAGAAGTTGGACTCTGAATGCATTTTATTGCACCCACATCTTTGAAAAATAAACCTTCATGAAAATTCTGTGCTTTGCATTTATCTGCTCCTTTGCAATCATAAATAACTCATGGGACCAGGGTGAGATAGCAAACCTACAAACAGACAAATGCAATAACAACAAAAGGGCCAAAAAGCTGGCTAGTTTGTCATCAAAACATATGTGAAAACATCGTCTAAATCATTGTCACAATTCCTCTCTTGACGACTCATTCCATTTCCTGGAGTCTTGTCAGACTTTCTATATCCATTGAGAGACTATTATATTCAGAAAGGTTGTTGGAAACTTACAGCACTTAGAAATGCTCTTGAGACATATAAAAGTGCCTTTGTTTAGTATGGAACATATCATACCTGCCAAATTTGTAGGTTTGAAACCACTTCCAATAAGAATTAAAAGGCCCTCTTCCTTGTTGAAATAGGACTATCAATATATGACTTGTCTGCTCACAAGAAATAGAGGGTTCTTGTCTCCAAGGTCACAATTTAGTTGAAAGTCACTTTCATGATGACAGGGTACATGAGAGGGATAAAACTAGAAAAATGACAGTCTAATCTTCCAAGATGACCGATCATCGATAAAAGATTAAAGAACATAAACATCTAAGATACCAGATTACCAGCTTGTTGGCACACTGTCGAGTATTGAAGTATGCTGAAATACTACTGATAAATGGAAAGTGTTTCTTCCTGTGAAACACATGTTATGCAGAATCCTGTTCATCTTCAAGAGAGGTTTGAGTTTCAGATATAGATGCACTTTTTGCAGTAATACAATAAATGTAAAATGCGAATAAGTGATGTACTATAAAGTGGTGATAGTTCTTTCCAAGAATGAAAGTGTTCAATTACTCAAAATGTAAACATCACTTAATCATCATTCTTTTGAACTCTGATAGAAATTTTAAATATACATACAAGAATGATCAGACATGCCGGTCCTATGAAGCTCCAAATAAAGTTGTTTTCTGTGCTAAGCCAACATCTGAAAAGTAAATAATAAATACAATTTATAAATATGTTTGAGTACACTTCAACAAAGCAACAGTCTGAATAATATGACAAAGTGTATTCAGAATTACATTTCAAATGCGTATCTTAACTTACACTTTTGTGGTGCCATAGTATCTATATCCTAAGGCTGCTGAGAATCCAACGACCACAGCTGGACTTAGGTAGCCAAAGATATAAAAATTCTTGTGCAAAAATCCTTTGTTGTAGATGACTCCCACGACAATGAGATAGAGGTGTATGCCCTCAATGCACATCCAGGCAAAGGCAGCCAAAAAGAAGTAATGTAGCAGCCCAGCAATGATGGAACAGAAGAGCTAAAAGTCAAAG